CGCGGGCCCTCCCGCCCCCCCCGCACGGTCCAGGTGAAGCGCGAGTCAGTCTGGCTGCAGCTCCACCACGCACTTGACCAGCGCACAGGAGCATGGACCGGGGGCTGCCCCTCCTCCTCCTCACATGCAACCAGGGCTCCCAGTGCCAATTGCACCCCACCTCCCAGTCACTCCCTCCACCCCCGCCAGGCTTCCGTCCGGTACCCAGCCGGAAAACCAGGAAATACCGGACATTGAACATATCCAATATTTTCTGGATTTTTTTACTGGACAGAGGGCCCTAAAACCAGACTGTCTAGTAGAAAACTGGACATCTGGCAACCCGAGGTGGGGCAGGTCCAGGTTTGTCTGCCTCTGCACCTCCCAGCCAGAGAAAGGAATGCAGCAAAGTGTGTGCCTTCCCTCACTCCCTAATGAAGGGGAACAGCCAGCACCGTTCCAGTAAGAATGGGGAAAGGGGAAAGCTTCAGACTCCCCCCCAATACTCCCTTTAAAGTGCACCTGGGGGGGTGGGAGGCTTGAGGCTGGGGCAATCTTGTCCCCAGCCACCCCTTTCATCTGCCTGGCGATTATCTCTTTTCTGTATGCTTTTCTGAGAAGCAATCCCATCCCATGCACAACCAAACCCTGACCTTACGTTTTGATAAGAGGAAGCTGCATGCCAATTTTGGTGGTTCTAGCTCTTATCGTTTAGGAGCTGTTTTTGAACAGACAGACAGATGGACGGACAAACTCTCTAAAATATATAATGGACTAGCAGATGTGCCTGGTGTTACTTGGATCCTTAACTGTGGCAATGTTTGGGATTTGTTTTTGTAAATTAAGAGGAAAATGCTCATGTTTTATTTCCATTATTGTATAGGGTTGGGGCATAGGAGAAGGAGGCTCAGAGCAGAGGGTCCGGTGTGTGGGGGGTCCAGGCACAGGGTGAAGGTGCAGAAGTGAGGGCAGGGAGGGGACGGTGCAGTACTCAGGGCAGGAAGCCCAGGGCAGGGGGCTGGGAGGCCAGGGAAGAGTTTACCAGGACTGCCCAGGGCCGTGAGGGTGGTGCTGCTGTAGTGGCAGCTCATCCTGGGGTGGCTGGCGCTGTACTCTGTGGCTGGTGGCTTCTCCTGTGAGGTCAGGGCTACAATCCCTGTTTGGCATCTCCTCCTAGGAGGCCGGGGCTGCATGGGCTGGCCCCGACCTGCAATCTGACTGGGGGTGGAGGATAAGGCTGTGAGTTCTATCCCTGGCCAACAGGGCCCCCACCCCACAGCCTGCAGGCTCTCTCTGGGGTTGGACAGGCTCTGGGGGATGATCCAGGCCTCCAGGGGCCCTCTGTTGCCTGCAGGCTATTGGTGGGGAAGGTAAGGGTCCTGGGGCTGACCTTGCTTTAAGTTAGGGGAAGAGGAATCTGAATACAAATTTGATGGCCTTAGTGCTTACTGTTTAGGAGGAGTTTGTGAATAAGGGGGAGGGCTCAGAGACATGCTAGCACCTCCCTATCTCTAGGACCAGTTTGGGGCCACTGGCCATGGCATTCAGGCAGCATTCTTGCCTGAAGTCTGCTACATTTTGGGGGGGTCCCATTTTATTGGGGGTGCTGTGCCACAGCATGGTGTGTTAATGGTAAATCTGCAATTGTCTCAGGACATAATTTGCACACTAGATATATCTCATGTCACCTGTAATATTTCCCTGGTTAGTTTGCTCTTACCTGACCTATTTCCCTCTTACTGCATTTAATTTGTTACATTTGGTTTTATCACTGATTTTCTTCCCCGCAGGCTTATCCTCTATCTATCTATCTATCTATCTATCTATCTGTCTGTGCGAGTGTATCTGTCTGGGTATGTCTACACTACCACCCTAGTTCGAACTAGGGTGGTAGTGTAGACATACCCAGACAGATACACTCGCACAGACAGATAGATAGATAGATAGATAGATAGATAGAGGATAAGCCTGCGGGGAAGAAAATCAGTGATAAAACCAAATGTAACAAATTAAATGCAGTAAGAGGGAAATAGGTCAGGTAAGAGCAAACTAACCAGGGAAATATTACAGGTGACATGAGATATATCTAGTGTGCAAATTATGTCCTGAGACAATTGCAGATTTACCATTAACACACCATGCTGTGGCACAGCACCCCCAATAAAATGGGACCCCCCCAAAATGTAGCAGACTTCAGGCAAGAATGCTGCCTGAATGCCATGGCCAGTGGCCCCAAACTGGTCCTAGAGATAGGGAGGTGCTAGCATGTCTCTGAGCCCTCCCCCGCTCAGGGAAAACATCTGCGTGCCACTGCCCAGAAACCCACTGTCACTCTCCCCCTCCAGGCATGCAAAGAGAATGAAGGAAGGAAGAGGGGGGAAGGAATGAAAACAGGGGGTGGAGGGAAGGGAAAGACAAGAGAATGTTTCCTGACTGGGTGGAAGGGAAAGATAAGAGAGAATGCTTTCTTGGCTGAATGGGAGGGGTCGAAATGAGCCTGTGCACAGGGCCCCACTAACTCCAAATTTGCCACTGCTCTGAGATACAATAGAATACATAGTAACTCCACTGATGGTGAAATTGAAAACAAACTTTTCCCCACTATATCTGTGCTTGCCACAGTCCAGCAAATCCCAAACTGGATAGAGCTCAGTTTGAGGGGATCCAAGGAAAGACGAGAAGAAATAGGGATAAATGGCTGTTTTCCTTTTTTAACATTGTCCACATGTTGTTTCCTACTGTTTATGACCGTGTGCCAGCCCCTTCTGAAGGCAGCATTCTGATTAAGCAGACTGTGGGAGAGAAAGTGAGCTAAGAGCCAGCTAGCAAGGCTTGAAAGATAGCCAAAAGCCAAGAAAAATAGACTTTCCCTGACTAGCATTTACTATTCTGAAACAGCTGATACATAAAATTCTGCATCAAAACTGAGTATGGTTCAAGAGCGCTTGGGAATCTGTACTGAGAACACAAACAATACAAGGTCTGGGCATGTTCCTGGGGATCTGGATCTACACACCTTCTGGACAAAGCCAAGGTCCTCGAATACGACCCCTCTTCCTTGGTACAAAAGGCAGAACACTGCTGGCTGACCCCCATCTGAGAGCCTGATTCCTGCACTGCAAAGCCGGAAGCAGGAACCCAGAGACGGGAGCAGCTGTCTGAGCAAAGCCAATGTTACAAAAGCAGAGAGGGAATGAAGATAAATTAGTTTTCCTTACAAAGTTTACACTTCTCTAAGGGAATGAGGGAAAACTCCTCCCTGGAGAAAAAGCGTAGAGCACATTTTTAAAAGCAGAAGTTGTTCTTCTTTTTCATTCTGTAGCCCACTGTGTGTGTGAGAGAGATCATTTCTTTGCTCTCTCCCACACCTGCCACTCAAGTTCCAATGGGGGGGGGGGGGGGGAGTGCTTGGTTTA